TTATTTTTAATTAAAAAGCACAACAACAATAAAACAGTAAGATACAATGACAAACTAGCTTACAAAACGTTTATCAACAAAAACGAATAAGATTAGGCATGGCATACACCACATGCTGTACAGGCTACCGACTAATAAATTACAGAACGTTTAGCAAACACTGAGGAATCAAATAAAATAAATAAATAAATAAAAGAGAGCCTCCATAGCATAACGTGAGGTAAACAGCAAAGATACGTTTTCAAAATGAAAACAAAAATAAAAGTAAAACTAAACTTGCTGTCGGTTACAGTGCTAGTAGTTTTTTCCCCCACAAGAATACCAACATGTTCACCCTCTCTGGTTTAAGAAGCGGTCTTTTACTTTACTTTAGCTTGAGACCCACTGGTCGCTCTTTTGCAACTAACTTTCTCAGTTGGTCGCATGAGCGTTTTTTTTTTTTTGCTACAACGTGGGATTAATCAATGCATGCTGATGAACTTTTATCATAGTTCATAGTTATATGGAAACGAAAGTGGTCAACATTCAACCCGTTCTTTTTCATCAGTAGTATTATTTGTGATCTGAATTTTGTGAACAGGAGTTCCTCTTTTACTATGTTATAAGCCAGGCTTGGGATGCTTTCACTTTCGATTTTGCGATCTTGTCACGTTTTACAATAAAAGATAATTGTCTGTTTTGCTTACATCTATAAGAAGCGGTCTTTTACTTTACTTTAGCATAAAAACCATCCATCGTTTCCTCAATATTCGCGTCATTTTTGCTGCACGCAGCTTCGCGCTCCTGCTGACACGGTGAGTATAAACCATGCTCTACACTCGAAGCGCTGCGCAGTTCAAACGAGTAGCGCGGTTTCGTTATGCTTTCAGTTTCGTTTGTCATTTGATGTTTCACAAATGCAACAGAAATGGCAGCACTTATGAGTTGAACAACGCGGTGGTTGCGCCAGTGTGACCCCACACAAAATTTAGTCGCACAGGTAGAAAAAATGGTCGCAGTCCTGCAATTAATATAACCAAATCAGGTTATTATTATTATTTTATATCAATAATAAAATAAATATAAGGGAAACTCGCCCACTCGATTTTGTAATATTCTTTAATTTTGTAGTCCCGGACTACTAGTCCGTATGGTGCATTTATATTAAAGGCACGTCCATGTGTAGATGGCGAGTCAGCGTTGGCATTCGGCAACTTCATCTTTGCACCCGACACTGACTCAGAAAGCACTAGTTTATTAATAAATAATTAAAATGTATTTTCCCCCCCGACACATACATAATCACTTTGCCGATGCTTTGAGGCAATGGCTTTATTATGCGCGAGCTTGAGCGCGGAATACGCTATAGCCTAATACGCCTGCCTATATACACTGAACAAAATTATAAACGCAACACTTTTGTTTTTGCCCCCATTTTTCATGAGCTGAACTCAAAGATCTAAAGACTTTTTCTATGTACACAAAAGGCCTATTTCTCTCAAATATTGTTCTCAAATCTGTCTAAATCTGTGTTAGTGAGCACTTCTCCTTTGCCAAGATAATCCATCCACCTCACAGGTGTGGCATATCAAGATGCTGATTAGACAGCATGATTATTGCACAGGTGTGCCTTAGGCTGGCCACAATAAAAGGCCACTCTAAAATGTGCAGTTTTATCACACAGCACAATGCCAACATAAACATAAAAGTTCAGGAGGGAGGTGGAACTGAGGCGGACCAGGGGGAGGGATCGCGGGCCAGGACCATGCATTGGAAGGGGGTCAGGGGACAGAGGTAGACCAGGGTATGAGAGCCAACCGGCAGGATGGAAGGCCAAGGCGGGGCCGGCAGGATGAACCAGCAAGGTCCCAACCGTACAGGAACCCCAGCAGATAGCCAGGAGTGAGCCAGTGAGGCTCCTGCCAAACAGGAATGCAGGCGGGCAACCAGAGCAGAGCCGGAATCCTGCCATGCAACACTGGTGGGACAGAAAACCCTCTCAGCGGCTCAGGCAAAACTGTAAACAAGAGCAGAGAGAGTTTAGTACCAGCCTCGACGGCTGCAACAGGACAGGCCGATTGCTCCGCAACGGTCCCTGTGAGCTCCCGGACTGGAGTGACTTCCTTAATGAGCTCTGAGAGCTCCTGAACTGGAGCAGGCTCTGAAGTGGACCTTGTGAGCTCCCGGACTGGAGCGGGCTCAGGAGTGGACTCAGAGGGCTCCCGGATTGAAGTGAGTTCCTTAATGAGCTCTGTGAGCTCCCGGACTAGAGCGGGCTCTGGAGTGGACCTTGTGAGCTCCCGGACTAGAGCGGGCTCAGGAGTGGACTCTGTGAGCTCCCGGACTGGAGTGGGCTCAGAAGTGGACTCTGTGAGCTCCTGGACTGGAGCAGGC